AGAATGGGGAAAAAAAAAGAAGACTCTTATATTGATTATCAAATTCATCCTTGCTGTAGTGCATGGAATTTTGAGTGAGCCAGGGATAAATTTGGCATTGCTTGCTTTCACTGAAAAGAGATAATGTCTTAAAAAGGCTTGAGAGAAAGCTGATAATGGTAAGGCCAGTATGATCAGTTTCTTTCAGTTTGCACAAACATTGGAACATTTTTTAATGACTTTATTATTTTTTCCATTTGCAGAGGATTTTTGTTTTACAATCAGGAATTCAAAGAGTACTCTATTCCATTCATGGGATCCGATGGTTCTGTTGTGAAACGGACTCAGCGTTATTTGCACACAGAGTTTCAGGAAACACCTGTAAGTTACTGTTATTTGTGTACTATGTCTTCTGGGTGCACTGGCCTGTTCCATGCTGCTTTATTCTGTGGCTGATGAGGCTGCCTTTGGCTGCTGGCATGATACTTATGAGAGTGTCTTGTAGGGTTGCCCTGCTGTCTGATTTCTGGATATGTATTTGTAGGGAATGGAAACCATGAGTCACAGTCACATTTGAAAGGTTGCATTAAATGCATTAATTTCTGTTTCTGTGCCGAGGCTTTTATTGTTGTACCAGTAGAGCTTCTAAAAGGATCATAATTTCAGTCTGTGTAGCTGTAGCTAGGTCAGCATATAGTGTAGTAAATTCTCTGGTAAAGAATTCATATGCTGCTCATTTATATCTTAAGACTTTGATGCTTGGGTCTCCAGTGTGCAGAGTAAAGGCAGTGTGAAGTGATGGTGTTGGAAAAGATGTTTAATTTTTGTGTTCCATGGTTTCCTGAGAGGACACCAGCACCAATGGTCTGTATAACTGCTGTGCAGAATCACACGCATCAGTTAAGAGATGAGAGTGAGACAGTGCATTAAAAATATCCTTGGAAGCTATTAATGAGAAAGGCTTGCCACTGCTATTTCAGTTTCTCTTACAGAAAAGGATGAAGAGGAGGAAAGAAGGCTGAAATCAGATACCAAAAACATATCTTTCTGTAAAGTTGTCCGTTCTTATTTACCATGCCTGCTCCCTCACCACTCTGTAGTTATATTATCTTCTCAGAATGAATGACAAAGTGAAGCATTCTTCAAAGAGTTGCTTAGGACTAAGACACTTGTTTAAGGCCCTGTTTAAACTGCTATCTGTTCTATGAAACAACTGCATCTTAATTTGAGGTAGATTAATTTTTTTTAAATTGATGCAAAAAATTTAATGTAAATCTTATCAGTGAAACTATGTTTTTGCTTCAGGTCCAGTATGGTGCTTATGTGAATGTAGGTGGTCTTGGATCTGTTATCAAGCTGATGTTTGCTGGCATGTTATTTCTTCTTCTGGTGAAGTTTAACTTTGGAAGAAAACTTCTGACAAAAGTAAGTTTTCAAAACACAAAATAACTTAATGTTTGGAGATATTTTTTTTTCTCTCTAGTTTACTGTTGGTCTTTTTTTTGTCTCCGCCCCCCCTCCCCTCTCATCATGTAGTACCCAGAATTTTTCTCTGCTGGACGCTTCACAAAGAAAGGACCAACCCAGAAACAGGTAACTGACTGTTTTCCATCACAGTTATTCAATACATTTGTTATGGTAATAGTGGAATAGTAATTTAGAATCAACTGCTTAGTCTCGGAGAAATAATTTCTAAATGAATCATAGAATATTCTGAGTTGGAAGAGACCCACTAGGATCATCAAGGTCCAACACAGGCCCCGCACAGGACAGCCCCAAGAGTCACACCATGTGCCTGAGAGCATTGTCCAAATGCTTCTTGAACTCTGTCAGGCTTGGTGCTGTGACCACTTCCCTGGGGAGCCTGTTCCAGTGCCCAACCACCCTCTGGGTGAAGAATCTCTTTCTGACCTAAACCTCCCTTGATGCAACTTCAGGCCATTTCCTCAGGTCCAGGTCACCACAGAGAAGAGATCAGTGTCTGCCCCTCTGCTTCCCCACATGAGAAGGCTGAAGACTGCAATGAGGTCTCCCCTCAGTCTCCTCTTCTCCAGGCTGAACAGACCAAGTGACTTCATCTGCTCCTCATATGGCTTCCCCTCTAGGCCCAAATGCACATTTTGTGTGCCTGTTCAGATAGTTATAGAGTATTTACATAATTGTGCCTTCTGTTATTAGACATCAGAGTATGTGTAACTCCTGTGAGGAATAAATGGATAATATTGCTAGGCCTGATGTATTTACATGGGTGGCTCAGAGCACTCTATCGAAGGTGATGACTGAGGGAGACCAATTAGCAAAAACCCAGGACTGAAAGCACTGAGAGAATAAACAGACTTCAGAAAAAGAACAGTTCCAACAAAGTGGAAGCAATTAAAAATTGAGATGAGATTATACCTCTTAAGCAATAACTCAAAATAAGTGCTCTCATGTTTAAATGGATTATAGTATTCGGCAGAATTCTATATATAGAATTTGGATACTTATATTTACTACCTGTGTTTGCCTGATATCGGTGAGTTACTGTTTTGGTGACCATGCTTGTCTTGTTCACTACAGATGGATGGAACCTCTTTTACAATGACTTTTTTTGGTGAGGGTTACAGTGAGGGGCAAGATCCCCAGAGTGGCAAACCAAATGTGAAGATCTGCACTGAAGTGAAAGGACCAGGTATGTATGTTAGTAGCAGCTAACTGCTTTTGCCTGCTCCAGAATAGGTTTATGATTCCACTGCTGTCTCTTTCACCCTTGAGAAGCACTTGCAACATGAACAAAGTCAACAGGCTTTACAGTGTATTGCCTTGGATACTAGAATTCATTGTGACTTGGTTTTTGAAATGGCCAGTTCATTTGCATTCTTGTAATTATCTTTCCTCTGGCTTTCCCTGTTCCAATTCTCATGTTTGCCGAGTAGAGCCATTGAAGGGAGAGGGCTTTAAGAATAGTTTTCAGTTGTTATAGCCTGGAGTTACTACTTGTTTTTTTCCAGTTCCCTGGGAGTGAACTTAACCAGGTCTGGTGCGGTATAATTTCTAGATATAGCATACTTCTGTTCAGGTCATTCTTTGAGGGGAGATGACACCCTATGTGGTTTGGAGAGAGCAAGAATCTACGTTCAGAAAGGAGTTAATGTAGCATAGCTTCTTTAAATAACTAGAGATGTAGCTGAATTCAAGCATCTCACAGCATAGGTCTGAATTTAGGCACAGAATGGCGTAAGTTCTTGCTGTATCAGAGAGCCCTCTCTCACCATGATGTAGACACTCATGATTGTGGTGTGGTTATAGGCCTATATGTGAAGCAGTATTTGTTTGGATTAGATTTTAAGGACTTCACCAGCTACTTGGGCTGATTACTAGGTAAAAAACGCTGTTCTTAGATGGGGAAGGCTGTTTCATTTCCGAAGAGATTATTCTTCTGAATGCCATTGGGAAGAACAAAATTACATTCTACATTTCAACACACTGTATGTCATTTGGGGTTTTTGTTTTGTTTTGTTTGTCAGAGCCTGGATATATTGCTACACCTATTGCAATGGTTCAAGCAGCTGTATCTCTTCTGGAAGATGCACCTTCTCTGCCTAAACGGTAAGTACTTTCCCATTCTGAGTAGCTTGCTCTTCCTTAAAGCTACTGTGTGCAAATGTTTCTGTTTGAAAATATATGTATCAACCCTGTGGATTTCTGTGTTACCTCACCCAACTGGCTGTGCAAGGGAGCTGCTTCACCACAGGCTGATTTAAAGCCACTTGGTCTTTCCCAGTCTTTCAGTTTGAAAGGATGTATCATAGGCTTTTAGTCAGGCTTTTGCATCCCTGTTTATATGTTCAGTTAATGGAATGGTTTCTATTGGGTCTGCTGGATGCAGAAATGAATCTATAATTATAACCACCTTGCCAAATTTCTTATCCACTCTGTTCTGGGACAAAGTGGCTTTTTCTTTCTTAATCATGGAAGCACATCTTTAACTTCACAAAAAGGTGTCCCTCAATCACTGTGCCAGTAATGTTTTTCTCTTTTCACTAACAGGGGTGGTGTATATTCTCCGGGAGCTGCCTTCTCCAAAACAAAACTGATTGATCGCCTCAACAGACGTGGTGTTGAGTTCTCTGTTATTAGCAAGCCTGAAGTCTGAAGTCAAAACATAACTATGAATTAACACCTTTACTGGGTCTAACTCCAATAAAACTCATTTGGCTGCAAAAGCCTAATCATAAAATAGTTTCACTGTGCAATTGTTTGCAGCAGAAACAGAAGAAAATTTGACTTAAATGTATAATACTATTTGCTATAGTGAGAAAATCCCTAAAGGGTGGGTATTAATTCACAGACATATTAAATTGGTAACTTCTTGGATAGTAGTTCTAGAATTTTAATGTCATTCGAGTTTTTCAGGTTCCTACTTAGTGGATCAGCTATAGCATCTGCTTCAGAAGTAACCATAGCTGCCTCGCTTCACCCCTTCTGCAACTATGTAAAGCAGGCAGGCCTGGGATAACAAGTGCCTTAGCAGATGAAACCACTAGTTACTCCTTGTGTTTAGCATGTCTTTAATATCATTTTCAATTAATCTTTATTTAATAACTGTTCTTAGTGCAGATCTGTGTATTAGGGTTTCTATAGTTAGGTAAGTAGTAATAAACTGTATTGTGCTTTTGCACATTGTAACGATGGAGGCTTGTTCTGTTGATCATTTTGGAAGCTGTTTGACCTGATGCAATCCAGGTTCTAGGTGCACTGGCTTATTTTTTACTGCTTGATACTGTAACTGATGAGTCTACTTTTTGCTGCTAGCATAATTATGACAGTGTCATGTCGGGTTATCCTGCTCTCTGGGTATGGATTGTTAGGGAATGGAAGCCTTGAGTTACAGAAATATTGAAAGGTAGCCTTCTTGATTTTGGGGAGTGATAAATACATTAAATTATTCTTCTGTGCAGAGGTGCTTTTTTTTTTTTTTTTATCTTGTAAAAACTCTGAAAATTAGTCTGAGATATATAAAGGTCTCTATCTCAGCTGCATCACATTCACCATTTTTATTATCAGGCAAACCACATAAAAACTGATGCTTTATAGTATCATAGCTGCATTGAAGATTGCCTTATGGATGTAGTTCACCATATAATTTAGGTGGTTTAGGTGCTGCTTCTTAAGTTTTTATACCTTCACTGCACTGTCTTCAATAACCTAAAGTTAAAAAATGCCTGTTAGTCTGTTTGGTAAGGAATAAAGTATTACCTTCACACTAATGAAACTGAAGATGGTGAAAAGCTGCTTTTCCTTTCAGATCACTACCAAATTGAAAGTTAGAAACATACAGTGTACTCTCTACTACAGATGAAAGTTCATTCATTTAAGGGGCAGAGATCAGAGCAGTCAGTGTATGCAATTCACAGGCTCCCTTTCTGGTATTTCCGTTCAGGACTAACAATGTGCCACCGCCCATGGGCAGTGGGCAGTTTTACAACACAAGGTGTGTATGCAACTGCCACTGATCATCACATTGCAGTGCCTCCTGCACTACTCCACACCCACACAGAGTGACCCACTCTGTGTCTGACAGGGTAAAACACAACTACGTCCCCGGAGTTTAAAGCTTTGGTTGTGACAACAAAACCGGTATTTTTCAAATTAATTTCCTGAAGAAACAAGAATATGGCATCTTTTTGTCTGCAGTGCTATCTCCTATCCCAGTAATTTTTGCAATTTCTACACTGCTCTTCCAAAAGGCACACAACATGTTATTCCACAGGGCAGCATTTCCAGTTGCTGTGTCCAACATGGCAACTCTGCAAAGCAACGGCCACAGCTTATTTCTTCACTAATTAATCAACTGTGCACAACATGAAATGAAGTGACTGCTATAAAAATACCTACACGTCTTCATGTAGAAGTGTTCAGGTCTTCTCAGATTGGCTCAGAAATGTTTTCAGTATTGAAAGGGTTTAAAAGGAGGAGGAAGAAGCTAGTTCAAGGATATGGGTGATATTTTGTAACAAGAGAAAGGTCTCAACAATTTTGTTCAGGTAGGCAAATATAAAAAGATTAAGTCAGGTTTTATTGCCTTGCATGGTATCAATTTGATGGCAGTGAATAGAAATGCAGCTTAACACAAACAACTGATAACTAAAATTACTGCAAAAAGTCATCACTGAATTTGGCAGATACTTGGCTGATATTGCTTAGTTGTCATTCACGTAACTGTATTAAGAATCTGAAGCATGCATATGTGGCTTCTAGAAATGCATGTCAAACTGCACAGAACTACTGAGCACTTAAATACTGAGATGGTTAAGCTACAACTTGCATCTTTTAAATAGCTAACTGTAGATTGAAAAGTCCAAGTTTAATTTACTTTGTCCTATGCAATAAAAATAAGTGTATTTCTCAAAGCTATGGGACAAACTGATCTTAACTGAGAACTAAACTTCCCTCTTTAAGACTGTTCCCAATTTACCATTTCCAGTATGTTTTTGGTTTGGTTTGGTTGATACCAGCTTTTTAAAATACAAACCTTAGCCACAAGAGGAGTCTCCAGTAAATTCAGCTTTGATGCTCCTGGAGAATTCTTTTGTGAGATAGAGTGATGTGTCTTTGATTTCAGTGGGCTGGATACCACAAAAGTAGAAGCTCTGCACAGTGTCTGCCAGCTTTCATCCTGTGCCACAGAACAGGAAGGAACAGGCCGAACCACCCAATCCAGCAATCTGTTAGGACACACAACTTAAACTATGAATGTAAATAAATAAATGAAAAAATGCTGTGTTCATCTGAGATGATACAGAACAAAAACATTCAATGATCAATAAATGCAGGTGAAGCCTCACTGCAGGGGTGATGTATCAGAGTCACAAACAAGTGACAGGCACTTTTGGGGTGTCAAAGTCTATACACCAACAGCTTGATGGTAGTCAAGGTTTTAGTCTCAGCTATCTTAAACTCTGTAAGCGCATTTACCATAGTATAAATGCATGTATTTGCATAAGTAAGATTGTCATACCAAAACAGTTTCTCTGAATATTACTTCTGATTAATTGATTCATAAATGTTATATATTGTATGTGCAAAAAAAACGAAACAAAGCTTTATTCACATTTACCTTCACACCAAAACCCTAACATAATTCAAATTTCTCTCTTTCATTCTCTCTTCCCCAAAAATGTAGCTCAAGACTAAACTTTGTGAAAAGGCTGCTTACCTGTAATATTGTGAGATACTTGTTTTCTGCTCATTTCCCAACCATACTTCTCTAAATTTGGACAATACTTTACTGATGAAAGTTGCTCGTGTATGCACATTTCCTG